TTTATGCTAAACTGGGATCAATATACTTAACTGAGATATCATAATTGATTTTCGCAGAAAAAGATATCAGCTGACATAATAATATCTTCAAGCAGAATAGTAAAAGAAAATAAATTAAATTGATACTACATGTCATATTCCAAACTCTACTAATCCTAAGCTATAGTATAGAGTCAATGATGAATAACAATATCATTATGAACTATAGTTCTAGCAATAAAAAAAATATCATTTCATATTGCATTGAAAATGGAATTACATTGCACTTTTCAACATTATAAGCTCATGTTTTATAATAAACAATCTCAAAAGCAAACATAAAAAAGAAGTATGATAAACATGATAAATATATAATATGAGGTTAATGAGTATCCTTGTCATAGGAGGAGATTTCCTCATTGACGCCTATGTGGCACAATCCCCACCATCCTCATAAAGTAGGAGAGAGTGTGAGTTGGTGGAGATTTGTGTCTACTTTATAAGGATGGTGGAGATTGTGCCACATAGGCGACAAGGAGGAAAATCTCCTCTTAGGGGCTGTTTGGTTGTTGTTGGTAAAGTTGTGTATTTATGACACAACTTGGAAAGTTGTTGTCCACCTCATCAATTTCACTTTTATATTTTTCTTTGTTTGTTTTTTATTCCATTGGAATCATAAAACACTTGTTTGGTTTGCAAAATAAAACTTTAATTGTTTGTTTGGAAAGTATAAAAAGTGGTCCATACTCAAATAATCATATTGGTTGGAATTAATTTTTTCAGACTTCAATGTCAGCTTTCTCCTAAAATCATGTCTTTTTTTTATGAAATCACTTTACAAGCCACATCATATATATGAGATCTCAGCCTACATTATTTGATAGACTTAAAATAATAAAAAGACAAAACTAAAGATTAATGATAACTACAGTATAATTTTATGTGATAAAAGCAATCACATAAGCATACAAAAATACTAAAATTTTTTCATGAAAATTCATTCTAAAAATTCCTATATTTACTCAAAAATTAAGTTATAGTATAAAATGTTCAAATAATATTATCATTTATTCTTTTTATTTCATGTTTTAATTGAGCCGAGATCAATCTTTCTCCACCTTTTTATTTTTTATTGGGCAATTCTAGAGTAGCGTCTTCATCATCCATATCAATTGTGATATCAGGTTGGGGTTGAATTTTTTGAAATTAATTTCTTCAAATAATGAAGTCCAACACCAAAATCAACCTATTTGTCTTCTGCTCCCCCTAAAAAACCATAACCCTAATCCATAAAATGGGTTTGTACATAATGAAGAACAAAAATCAATGTCAAGAGATAAAAAAGAAAAAAGAAGGAATTAAATAAGAATCGCTAGGTTTGCACATAATAAAGAGCAAAAGATAAGATAAGAGTCCAGAAATACATTAGGATACACTTGGATCAATTATATTATATTATTATTCATAATTGATATGCGTAAGAGACAAAATATGTTGACAATATTAAACTATAAAACGAACTGTATGGGCCCTCTAACATAATTTTTTAATACAAGCAACCCCCAAGATTAATTTTAAAAATCTCTTGGTTTTGTGGAAGAGTTTGGTGTAAAGAACAAATGTTAAATTATCTAATCCGATTAAAGTAGTATCATATAAGTTAACCCCATACATAAAATTTATTTTAACCAAAACTCATATATAAGTATTATAATTGGCATTAAGATCAAAGAACGTGTGAGATTCTCTTTGACTTTTATACAAACAATATCTATTTAAATAATAATAGTATAATTAAACTTTATAGTCTGAAAAGAAATCAAACATACAATATAATTAATTACTTTAAAATAATCTAATCTAATCTAATAAGAAGAAAATAGATGAAAGTACTGTTAAAATTATTGTAACTTTATAATTCATAATTCTTAAACAATCTAATCTATTCTAATAAGAAGAAAATAACAAAGACACATACTTATTGAAGGAGATAAAAGTACTGTGAAAGCTATTGTAATTTCTTGATCTGAAAAAGATTAGATATACAATATAATTAATTGCTTTAAAATAATCTAACCCAATCTAATAGCAAAGGCACATGCCTGTAGAAGGAGATAAAGGTTCTATAGAAATTATTGTAATTTCTTGGCTTATATATATTGGTATATGATGTTACATGTGAGAGGATAACAATTATAAATAAAGTTCTATTTAAATAATAATATTATTATTAAATTTTGAAACTAACTATGCAGTACTTTGAACTACTTTAATTTTAGTCGGTGAGAGATCGCCACTTTGTGTGTAATTATTAATCATATAGCATGTGAATAACTATTTGCAGATTTGCATTATTAATCATGTAGCATGTGAATAATTGTTTAAAGTTTGATCATTGATCACATATAAGAGCGAGGGGGTAAATTTGGTATTTAATAAATCGTCTAATTAACCTAAGCGTATTGTGAACTACTTGAATTTTAGTTGTTGAGAGATCGTCACATTGTGTGTAATTATTAATCATATAACATGTGAATAATTGTTCTCACTTTGGCATTATTAATCATGTAGCACATGAATAATTGTTTGCAATTTGATCATTGATCACATATAAGAGCGACGGGGTAAATTTGGTATTTAATAAATCATCTAATTTACTTATGTTGCTCTTCTATTCAGGTTTGCATTTTAATTTAAACCACATCCTTATCTTCATACTATGTATATCCAATAAGAATTCATCAATTTATCAAGTTATTCTTACTTAATGGATTAGTATTTAAATTTCAAGGGTATTTTTGTCTACTAAAAGATTTTTCCGAACCCGTGCTTTTAAAGGGAGTATGATAAATGTTTTTTTAACTAAAAGCATCAAAAAAAAATTACAACATTTGACTTGCGATCAGTTAAGAGAAAGGTCATCTTTAAACATCATAATTCTCACAATGGACTTGAATATCATATTCAAATCATTTATTAAATTAATGCTTCAAGGAATTAAAGATGCACTACCTTTATATAATCCCATTTTCATGAAACCAAACATGCATTATAACATACACATTCTCATTTCCAAACAAAGAAATAAGATGTCTTCAAGAAATGGCATGACTTTGAAAATGCAACCATAACTGAAATCCCAAAACAAGACAAAATATCTTACCTGTTATCCATGAGGCTTGCCTCTCTCAGTTCTGCCGAAGCGCACTTTGGATACCAAGCACAAAGTAATAATTGTCACCCTCATTAATTCTAAAAGAATAATAATAATAATAATAATAATAATAATAATAATAATAATAATAGTGTTACGATGATTCACACTGCAGTTTTTTAACCTCTAAATTGCCGTTCACCTATTTGCACACAGTGGCATCTTCTACCTTTCCCTCTTACCTCTTTGGAAAAAAGTGTTTTGTTAGGGTCACTATGGTATTATTGAAGCTTAGCAATTTATATAAGTTGTTTAAAATGGCCGTTTGATTTGTGTTTGGTAAAACCATGCTTGAACATCATTACGAGTGAAAATGACTAAAATAAATACAAATTTATCTTTATGTTTATTGGTAGTAAACAATCACGTTAAAGTATATAAGAGCATGTATAGTATATAAATTACAAAAAATATAAGATACTTTTAAACGTGCTCAGATTGTTTTTAAAAGCACTCCTTAAAAGCAGAAGCAATTTTAATAAATCAATTTTAATAAGTATACAGATTTGTTTTACCAAACACAATTATCAACTTAGCATAAGCACCCTAAAAAAGCAACACCAATTGGTCCTTTCGTTCGTTAAATCTTAATATTTCGACCAAGTCCTTAAATCAGTTAAATTACTGTTAGGTCCCTTGATTCTTTTAGATTATCTTAAAATGGAAAAATTTACAAAATAGACTTATTTTACTAAACATTTAGCAAAATAGACTATTTTGCTAAATATTTAGCAAAATAGAGGTCAAAAAGAGGTCTATTTTACGAATTTGGATCCTCTCAACTACAAAAAAATAGTGGAGAGACCATTACTTTTAATTTCAATCGTTGATTACTTAATAGGCGTTTATGATACAATCTAAATCTAACACTTACCATACCCCGTGTATTGCACTTATTCATAATTTGCACTAAAAGAAAAAATCACAATCACCAACTAGATAATCAATGGTTGTGATTATGTAGTGATCTCTTCACTACTTTTTAGATAGTGAAGATAATCTGAATCCCTATTTTGCTAAATATTTATTTTGCAAAATTTTCTCTTAAAATTAGTCCCTCTAGTCATAAGAATTGCTATAACATTCCCCAATTTTTCAGGTTGTCTCAAATTAATCTCTCCAATCAAAGAGCAAAATAATACCAAGATGAACTCAGAACTTGAGGGCTAATGCCAAAGAAGATTAGAGATTTACGGGACTAATTCAAAAAACCTATTGAAAAATAAGAAAAAGAGTAGCAATGTGCTTATCCGTAATCATCTGTGGACCCCGCCATCTTTTCACCGTTGGATTCAGTGTTAGGCATCTCTTTCACCCCTTTGCTGATCTGTACTATCGCTATAGCAACCTTTGAGCAATAAACATTAGTTAATTAATTAACCAAATTAATTACAAATTAAGCTCCGAGGAAAACATACAAACTTATAATAAAAAAATTGATTCATTAAATTTTCTTTTTTGTTCAAGAAACCAGCACGCCGTTTTCTTGAGATTGGTGGTCCCCACCGCCAAAACAAAGGCGTGGAATTCGTTCCTAACCGCTGATACAGTCTGCCAAATTTCCCCCAAAGGTCAGTACCTCTTGAAATTAATTAATTAATTGCTTTTGTCTTAATTTTTGGGAAAAATTAGAAAATGCAAACTTGTAGATTTACTGCTTTTCATGGTATTTAGTCCAAAATTTTATTTGGGTTCCCTGTTTGGATTGAGATAGTTGATGGGTTTTTGATAAAATGGGCTAAAAGCTGCTGAAGATCTTGTTATTCCATAAGGTAGTACACCTGTTTGATTCTGTTTTTTTTTTTCCTTCCCGTTTTTTATGCCGTTTGAATTTTTACATTTTGAAACTTTTTTGGTCTTTTTTAATAGTTTCATGTATAGTTAGAGTGTTGGTCAATGGTTTTTGTGGTTTACACTCTTAAGCTATACAATGTTCAGATATCAACCCCTATTGCTTTTGATTCCAATTCCTCAAAGCTGCAATCTTTATTCTAGTCCATGCCCTTTTATCAAGATTGGTATGGATTAGTATTATTGAAATTTCTTGAAATCTGCTGTTTTAGTAAGTTTCTTGAAATGTTAGACAAATTTTCATGAATGATACATCATTTTTCAGGTTTCTAGGAGTTCTCACAGATTCTCACCTAATTAAAACCTCAGTAGAAACAGTTTGTTTCAGGTACTTTTATCATTTTTCATCTGACTAGTATATATTCAATATTCTCTAGAATTAAATTTGGTTTTGTATTTGTAGATCATGAGGTTCAAAGAAGGGAGTAGGGTTGAGGTGCTGAGAAATAAAAAGGAAGCTTATGGCTCTTGGTTTCCTGCAAGAACTTTATCCAAAGTTGGAAACATGTACACTGTTAGATATGAGCTTTGTCTGACAAGCAAAGGGGAGCCTATGATAGAGAAAGTGCCTGAAGAAGATATTAGGCCATGCCCTCTGCTTGTGAACGAAGGGGAGAGTTGGGCTGTTGGTGATATTGCGGAGGCCTTTGATCTTTGCTGTTGGAGGGTTGGAAAGATTGCAAAGATTTTCAGGGATAATTGTTGTGTTGTTAGATTGTTTGGCTCCATCCAGCTTAAGAAGTTTCATGTCTCTGATCTAAGAGTTCGGCAAGCTTGGCGTAATAATAGATGGATATCGCTTGGGAAGGTATACATACTGAGCCTGATGATTTCAATCTTTAATTCCTTTTGTTCCTGCAGTTTAGATGTGTAGAACTTTTCTTTTGATATATGATTTTTTTTACCTTTTTATTGAATTAGTTCTTTATGTTTGATTGTTTGACTGATTATTCAGTTTCATTGAAAGTAAGCTGCTTGTATTTATCATCAAAATTATTGTGTTGTTGGACGCCACCAAAAACCGGTGCTTATCATATTTTGTGGAGAACATGGGAAGAAAAGATAATTGCACACGGCTCATATCTTAGTCTATGCAAACAGGCCCACGACGTCGAGCCATTGATCGTAATGATCTTATACTCTTATATGCGTTCACTGTATGGTTCTCTATTCCTTCAAGTTCCTCATTGTTTTTTCCCTCTCCCTTATGTCTTGTGTTCCCGGAAGGGGGAGATAGCAACATACGTTAACTTAGAGAATATCAAGCTTTTCTTCTAGATTGTCAGGCTTTCCTTATGCCTGTTTTGATGCAAACTCCCTTCACACATTCCTGTCACTAACCAATTAAGTATCTTAGAAGCACACATTTTTGTTATGACTCATGCTTGTGGTGCATACTTTTCTGGATCTCATTTATGCTTGTTATTTTACATCCTTTTGACAAAAATGCAATCTCCGCTAATGTTCCTGTGCAAAAAAGTTTCAATCTGGAAACAATTGTATCGTCTATAGGTACTGGTGATGTATACATTCAAGATTTAGTCAATCATATGTTCCTGAATATTTCACCTTACACATATGTGATCACACTTATTAGTGAAAGCCATTATCTGATCATGCTTTTTAGGTGAGATGAAAAACCATGATTATGAAGAACCATGATAACGGGCAACTAACCAAAGTACTGATGGTTATGGCATGGTCTTTTTATAATAGACAAAAGAAGAGAGAAGGTGGGGCACGGAGGGGGTTTGTTTTGGTCAAGTTTCAGTTTTATTATGGCAGGTTCAATCTATTGTTGAGATTGTATTCCCTCTTAACCTTCATTCTCGCGAATATTTAAGGGAATTAAGTGTCACATGTATTCCTTAAGGTCTCGTTTGGTACGCGGGAATGGGGTGGAATGGAATGATCATTCCCACTTCTCATTCCTTCCTACCAAACACACCATCTTTTTTGAAGTTGGAATGCTCATTCCCACATCTCATCAATTCTCATTTTATGTGGAAATGAACATTCCCAATGAAATGAAACGGTATGAGCATTCCCACTTAAATGAGACTCAATAAAATATATAATTTTAAAATATGTTCATTCTCACTTCATTTTATAAATTACACCCAAACGTGAGAATGAGAATGACTATTTCATTCTCACATTAATTTCATTCAATTTCTTCTTCCATTCCATTCTCATTTGAGTTCATTCCCGCGTACCAAACGAGGCGTAAGCGAATATCAAATTGCAAAGTCATACTTCTGTTCTCTTTGATGTGACTTTATCTGGTAGTTAGTCCTTCATTAGCCTTTATCTGGTAGTTAGTCCTTCATTAGCCTTCACTCAACAAGGTTCGGGCATGTTGAAAGGCACTCTCGATCATTGAATAAGGTAGACCAGAAGGGACCACTATGCAGATGAATTTAAACAACAATGAAAATGCTAATTACATCACAACAATGAAAATGCTGTTTACATCTCAAGACATCTCAGATTCATCTGAATGAGATTAATTTTTATGGTGTTTGCAATTTTGTTATAAGCATAGAGAATACCTGCAATACTGGAAGTGAGCCAAAATTAGTTGAATCGTAATGTCAACTAAAAATGAAAACATTCAGATAAATCATGACAGAAGTAGGCAGTGTTTAATAAAACCACAGTAAGTTTTGAATCAAGAAGATGAATAAATTCTGAACTTATGTGTGCATTAGTAGTTTTTGCCAGAACACAGCCAACATTTTCAGAAGCTTGCTCTCCATGCAGGTATGGGAAATAACAAATAAACAGAAAAAAAAAAAGAAAACAAAATCCCATAACTGTTTCAGTACCTATATCTTTTACCTCTTTTAGCTTTCACTTGTTGTGCACCCTAAGGATGTCAAACAAGCTTATGTGTATGCAATGTGATTGCCTAGGCACTGAATTCATAGTTGTACGGTTACTTCATATCCAAACAAATGCCAAAGCAGAATTCACATTAAATTACCATTATTTAATTTACATATAGCAGAGTTTAATGGGAGGCTGAGGCAGTCAAACACAAGCTTTAGCAAGGTCATGTTCATGTGGTAAAACAGCTTATCTTAACTTCTGGATGTTCTCTGCTTTATGTTTGCTATTGGAAATAGGCCCTATTAGTTTACGCAGTATTTTTTTTGGCAGAGTCGAGAGTGATTTGTAAACTTCTGTATTTCATATTAGCCTACTTCTGTTACAGAAATTCTATGCTAATCTGCTTCTAAGATGCTTTCTTATCGCTTCTCTAATCAAACAGAATTGTAACTTGCAGGCATTTGAAAATAAAGAAATTTACAATAGCTCCAAATACGAAACTTACATAGATTCTGGAGAAAATGGATTCAAATATGAAGAAGCTTGCACTAGACAAAAACATAAACAGGATTATGTTTGCTCATTTCAGGCGGAGAGAACCAATAACAGGAATATAAACTTTCACGGTAGTTCACTCCTCGATGACACAGCATTGAGAGGAAACAACAGCAAAAGGATGTGTACCTTCGAAGTCGGTGAATATTATCCTCCAATAAAAAGAGCACAACCGAGAAAGGTAGATGCTTTACCATTCTCTAATAACTTGGTAGGTAAAACCTTCATGCAACCAATTATTGAAGAGAGTATCGAATGCTCTGTGGCTAGTTGTAGTGGAAACAACCTACCCGAATATAGTCCTCTTGATGATACAACATCTTCACCTGCATCAAAGAAAAGTTACCGAGATGTTTTTGAAAATGGCTTGGTTGCAAATGTCCATGAGTTGGAGCTACATGCATATAAGTCTACTGTGCAAGCTTTATATGCTTCTGGTCCGTTAAGTTGGGAGCAGGAGTCACTTTTAACGAATCTTAGAATGTCGCTACATATTTCGAATGAGGAACATTTGCTTCAGCTGAGGAACCTGCTATCTGATTAAACCCTACAATAATAAGGAATATCAGGTATATATAATTAGTCTCTGTTAATTCCTGTTCTCCTTTGTTTTTTCTTTTTAAGTTTGTAGTATAAGTTGGCATGGATATAAGGATTTGTAGATTAACGAGTTTCTATTTTGATCTTTTTGTTTCTTGCTACTTCTTCAGCTCTGGTACTATATCATGTACATGTTTGCTAAAAGCAATCAAGGTTTTTTGGGATAAGTTTGTATTTTGAACTTAATGGCGATGTAAGTGATATAGAACTTCTCCTTTTGTTTGTTTGTTGATCGACTGGTTTGTTTTCACCCATGTATTTTTTGTGAAATGAGTTCAGAGATGCTAAGATCCTCAAATCATTTTGTTCCTGAAATGATTTCAGGATTAAATGCAGTAAAAATTTATTTCAGGTACTATTCACAAGTAATCGGTGAATGGGCTTATTTATTTTATTTTACAGGGTAAAAGCTTATTATCTGAAAATAGTATCCAATTCAAATGTATGCTTGTATCTGACTGCGGACTTGTTTCGGATCTTTTGAATCAATTGATGGATCCCTATTCAATAGGCGACGTAACAATGTATCATTACTTGCGTTGGATGAATAAGAGAAGAGCTTTGCTACCGAGACCCAAAATATGGGACCAACAGGGGGACATGTGAGATGTCTCTCTCCTATTACATAATGATAATGACCAGCTCATTATGCAATAGGAGGGGGACATCTTACCTGTCCCTCCTGTTAGTCTCATATTTTCGGTCCTTGGGAATTTTTCATAAGAGAAACATTATTCCAAACTTGAAGTTAATAGAGTATGGGGATTTCAGGGTTTTTTTTACAATTTACCCTTTTGAATATTTTGATTTTTTTTTTGTGTGCGTGTGTGTTGTGCCCCTAGCTTTCATTCATATTGAGATCTCAAGTCATTCACATTGAATATCCACCTTTATAAACTTATCATTACGAAGATGGTTTTAATACTAAAAGAGTATTTTTTTTCAATTCATGAACCTAAGAACAAAAAATTTCTCTCCTTCTCTTTTTGCTTTCAACACCCATCTTTATCTAATGATTTAAAAAAAAGTTTCTTTCTAGAATCCTTGTAAACCTTTTGATTAATAAGTTTATTTATCTCGATAGACGATGGCAGTCCACGTAATTCGACTTCCAGAATGATTTTAGTCCGCTGACAAATATTGACCTCTATTAATAATAACCATTCTTTGACACGAAAACATTAAAAAAAGATAAATAAATAAATAAATAAGAAAAGAGCCCTAATAATAGAGGCCTATGCGCGTTGCGGTTTCCACGTCAGCACGCCACGCTGTCCCCGGCATCTATTTGAGGCGAAGTCCTTCAGATTTCTTCTTTTCTCCTCCTCTTTCTTCTCTCGACGCGCAACAGGAATCGCTTCTCCTTCCTTTCCTTCGAATTAGGGTTTTCTCTGGTTTCTTTTTTCCCCCTTTTGACATTTCTTGAAACCAGAGAAAACCTAGGATTCGCCCTCTCTTCCGCTCGAACGATCGATTTCTAATCTCCCAGGTCCGATCGCTTCTCAAACTGGATCTGATCGAATTCGAATTATGAAATTATTTTTATATATTTTTTGTTTTTAAATGAAAATTTGAGGGAATATAGGTTGCTTTTGTGCAGTTGATCTCGGATCTGTTGCCAAGATGGGAGCTTTTTTGTCGAGGTTTTGGTTTATGTTGTTCCCCGCAAAAGAGTATAAGATCGTGGTCGTTGGATAGGTCGTGACCACGAATCCTACTGTTGGGAGCAACGTTGAGGAGCTCGTTTATAAGAATATTCGATTTGAGGTGAGAAATTCATTATTTATTCCTTTTGTTTCTTTGATATTATTGGTGCATGTGAGTTCAAGTTGAAATTAATCAATCGTTTTTTCGCATTTTTTTCTTTAATAAATAAATGTAATTTAAAGTTTCGATCAAGTACGCTTTTGTTTCGTATCCTAGTTTATCTTTTGTTTTTCTCTTATTCAGCTTGTAAAAGGTGTTTTAGGTTTGTCATTTTATCGCTTATTAATTATAATATATTTAGATTTTTAGATTAAGCGTTAGTAATGGTCTAATTGAATACTATGTTGAAATATGCTTATAAGGCTGGAAACTGGTTTTAACACCTAAATATATGTTTCTATTGTGTGCTTTATATCAATATCAGAAATTCAGAGAGGGTTAATTTATCCGATTATGTGGTATTATTGTTATTCATGGATGATTGCATATCATATCATATAGTTATATAGTAAGACAATATTAGTCATGTATCCAATGGTGTAGGCATTGTTGAATATTCGACTTAATGTTTACTCTTCACCTACACTTCTGCTTTTGAGGGGCATCTTAATTAAATTTGTTTTGAGGAATGAAAAAAGAGAGGGACCTAAGCAAAAGCACGTTTCATGGATATTATGATAAACTACTTTAATTTTGGTGTTAACGTAATACCAGTTCTAAGTGTTAATGCTTGAGGGTTTCAAAAGGGCAACCATATAACTATAGTGATGTGTGTAGACTAACCTATGACTCTTTGGATCATAGACTACAACTGCTCTCATTGTCTTGCACTTTTCTACAATTAGTATAAAAAAATTATGCTTATTGTTGCCTTGAGTTCATACAGAGATTTCAGTCTCAGGCCAGATATTTAGTTCTATGAGTTAGGGATATTAACTGTATTGTTAAATTCTTATACTTTCTATATTTCTTTCTAAAAGTTAGAGGGATGAGATGATCTAGGAATTTCTTTTAGTTGTTGGAATAGGTATACGTCTCTTTCACAGTCTGTGTTTTTCAAACTGATGTCAAATCAAGTCTGTAAATAGACCAAGTTTAGATAATTGACTGATTACATTATGACCATTAAGACTACCTGTAGGAGTACAAAAGTTGATGATTCAAGATTGCGACAATTTCTGCTGGTCATGGAAAAGATTACAATCACTGTGTGGCAGAAGGCGTTTAGATTAACATGGAAATAGTATAGATATTTTGAAGGGTGTTATCTAGTGAGTTGTTGATGAGTGATTGAAGGGAATTATAGCCTTTAATGAGTTTGTTTTAGTTGTAGAAGAGCTGCAGATGCTTTATAATTTTTGGACAAAGGAATATTGATCATTTTCTGTTGGAAATTATTTCTTCTTTCACCTTCAGCTATTAAATAAAAAATGAGGATTGTGACAGACACCATAATTGTCCATTTTTGGCTCTAACTATATATTCAACTTCTCATTGATTATAAAAATTCTCGTCCTGTTAAACATTTTTGTATATAACTATGTTTTGGTGGTCATAGGATGAAGACTTTGGCTTCTATCTCTTTGTTTATATTGAAATGTGTCTTTGAATTGTTTGATTGTGAATATAACTATATAAGTGGGAGTCCTGTATTTTCTGTAGATTTTTTGACGAACTCATCTTGGGAGCTTTGCTTATATTGACATGTGTCTCTTTGGATTGCTTGTATGCAAATGTTTTCCTAGCAGTTGGCTGCCTATATGCATCTATTCGTGAACAATAAAATTTCATGTTTGTATGCAAATGTTTTCCTAGCAGTTGGCTGCCTATATGCATCTATTCGTGAACAATAAAATTTCATGTAGCATTGTAATCCTTAGTTTTAGGAACCGCTGCCTATATGCATCTATTCGTGAACAATAAAATTTCATGTAGCATTGTAATCCTTAGTTTTAGGAACCTTTTAGAGACCATTTCAAAACAAGAGGGACATCGCGTGATTCTGGAAGGATTGAGATGAAAATACCATCATCTGTTTGGCACATCCATTGCTTGCGTGTCATGTGGAATTGCAGAAATAAGCTCAATGTCACATCCATTGCTTCCGTATCATGCGGAATTGAAGAAATAAGTCTAATGTAGTGCTTTTATTTGATGAGCATCACAAGATAATATCAATATGAGGTATGCTGTAAAGTATTTTTTTGAGCCACTTGGTAATCATTCATTAAGTGCATGGTGATGGATTCGAAGTTGTGTGGTCAGTGATTTGTTTGGCATGACAACAGAGGGAGCCAGAGGGCTAACATGATGCTTAACATGAATTAGTGAGTTTGATTTAATGGCCAAGTGATATATTGTAAGGATCATGCCATACATGGAATGTGGGTGTAGAATCAACAACAACTTTGTAATCCCCATTTTTCCTTTTCTTTTGAGAGAACTTGGGAAGATTTATCTGGGAGCTGCGAAACATGGGGAGCAACTCCATATTTTTCTTGATTGATAGAAATATCATTCTAGGAGACTTCTTATTTGGAACAAAATCTGGGGTTTGGGGTTTTGTAGATAATTGTTTTCACTTTATTGCTCAGAAGTTACATCACACTCATGTGGAAGAGGTTTTAAAAAATCAACCTGACTGACTTCTAAATGTTTTTCTTCAGTATGCCAAATCCAGCATCATCATCATTGGTGATACTTAACATATGCCCACAACTGTTCTTATCCCATCAGTATTAGTTATTTATTGACAAAAGCAAGCTTTTATTATTATTATTATTATTATTTTATTTTATTTTATTTTTTTGGGGGTGGAGTGGGGTTTAAATGTTTCAAAAGACCATAATGAGAAGGGACCTGACATAATTTGCTCTGTGCATAGAACAACAATCTTGTGGAATTTTTTGTGAATGTGGTCAGCATCTAAATGAAGGTTGCAGAATAGGAGTAAGAATCATAATTACTCCTCAGGCAGGGAACAAGGTTGAACAGTAGCATGGTTTAAGCCCAGAGCATGAAAGCTAGTTTGTGTTGGGTATGAAAATTTTAAATTATGACAACCTGACTGGAAGTCGTGGCTCTCAGATTTGAAATTCAGCTGGTTTTTTAGGTGTAGTAGGTTAAGTCATGCCTTACTAGTGTTATTTTCACATTCATACCAGAAGGCCAAAGCTTGTTGTATCTAGATGTATTTTAGAAGACAACTTTTCATCTATCTCATGTCCTTGGATATTTGCCAATAGTCATTGTAGATTATTACCTCTTGGTTCAATCTCTTTGGTATAATGATGTTATCGTCTTGAATATTGAATAGAGATGAGCAAGTGAGACTTTATACCTACAAGAACTTGTGCAGATGATGAGCCCTTAATGTTATACTAGAAGTATGCATGATTAGCCGAGCAATGAGAAATATCCATAAGAATGTTGATGTATGCCACTTGTTATGTGTGAATTATAGTAATGAAGAACAAGGAAATATATTCCATTATTGTTAGAAACTTAGTAGGTAGAGCAATAGATGTGAGCGGGAGTACTAGAATAACTGGAGGCATTTGGCCCATTTGTTTGACTGGATGATATTCATTGAAAAGAGATTCTTATATCTTAGTTATCGTTCTACATTAATTCTGCAACTTTCTTGCAGCTATTACTTTGTCTACTATAAACTAGCAAAATGATTTGATTATATACCTTTGTCATATGGCTTCTTATGAAATAAAACAGAAATTTATGGAAAAGGTTATACGACATGATCACTGGTAAAATTTAAATTATACCCAATTATGTTTTACATCTCAATTCTTCTTAATTATTATAACTAGTATTTAGACCCGTGCAAAGCACGGTTTCTAAAAGAATTTCTGCAAATATTGAACATGTTACCAAAATAAAGTGATTCCAGGAGAGAAATACTTCTACGTAGTGATCTACGTACTGATCTAGGAGATGAAGTGATTCCAGCTAGTAGCAAATGGACCGCAGAGAATTGGATACAACCACCTGAACAATATACACAGATAATCACGAAAATAAATCAAACAAACAGTAAAAATTAATACAAAACCTAAAATTCCCAACAAAAGCTTCCTTATCAAATCAATGCAAGCACTATTAAGAAGCAATAAGAACAAACAATAACCATAAAGTCCAAGTACACTGTGATTAGCAATTTAAAGAAAATAGAAGGGTAACAATCTCATTACATTCTTGGAATAAGACAATAATACATGAAGAAAGTTATCAAACAAATAAAAGATTTTTTATCTTTGTTTTGTTTATTCGTTATTATTGACTGTGTTAAATTCAAAAAAAACTATAGAAATAAGGAACTGTGTAATAGATAACCCAAAGGATTCGACAATGCAAAAGATACAAAAATTATACCATCTGATGACAAATTTGTTGTGATCAGCCTCTCTAATTATCGATCTGCATCAATTAAGAATAGTAACCAACAAACAATAAAAGTTCAATAGACTCACTGAAGTAGTAACAATTCTAATTACAAATTTGTGAAAACGGGGCTAAAATCCAATAGTTTAAGTCAAAAGACTTTCAAATAATTCAATGTTTACATACATTTCGTCATAATAGTTTCTGAAATCTTCACATGCCCCAAATCAAGCCAAAAGGACCCTAGAACCAATCTTCCAACAGTTGAATTACAGAAAAAACAACATATAATGAATCAAAAACTTATATAGATAACATATAAGATCCTTGTTGAAATTAGGGCTTAAACTACCCACATCTTATATCATTTTAACCAAATCACATATTACAGACCATCACATACCATCACAGATTAGATTAGTGTTTGCAACTATTTAATTAATTTATTAATCTCACAAACACTTTTAATGTGTAACATTTTCATGTATAAATAGAACAGCAAAATTTTCGTTTCAACAAAAACCCCCAATTTACCTTAAATTGGCTGCGAAAGGGGAATTTTTAATCTCTGCTGATGATTAGAGATGAAATCAGCCATCTTTTGAGCGATCCCTCCCAGTCCCTCTCCTCCGCCTCCTCAAATCCCTCCTCCTCCGCCGCCTCTCCGCCGGAGTCTCCGTCGCCACCTCCTACCAAACCCTAGACACCCTCGAAATGATCGAGCAACTCGATCGCGACCGAAGACTGACCCCTTCCCCTTCTCGCTCCCTCCAGCTCGCCTACTGCTGCGTCGCCGTCGATCTCACGGCGAGAATGCTGAGGGGTGGTGGGGAGTTAGGGGAGTTCTTCAATGCTGTGACAGGGTTTGGAACTGTCGGGTCGGGGATTTGGAGTTTTCGGAGGCGAAGGGGTTGGTTTCGGAGAGGTTGAGGGCGAGGGGGGCAGATGATGGAGGAGGCGTCGGGAGTAGGGCGCTTAGGAAGCAGTTGAGGAGGAGGAGGGAGAGCGCTACGGAGGCCAAGGAGGCTCTCGTCGCGTACGTGAAGGAGGCGGCGAAGGAGATAGGAGGTGAGAATCTTTTTACTCCCCTGATTTTTGTTCGAATTGATGGAAAAAGATTGGAACTTTAACGTTATTATCGGTTTCCATATGAAATTTGGCGAAGGATTTATTCACATGCTTAGGATAAAAAAACGGGTATTTGAACGTGGGGAGTTTTTTCTAAGGAGAACGTGGGTTGTGGGAAGTTTTTTTCAAGGAGAACGCGAGTTGTAAAAGGGAAGTTTTTAGAGAGAGAGAGAGTACGGAGATGATGAGTTGGATTTTTTTCAAGGAATCTGATTGGTCCTTGTTGAATTTTTTAAAGGGGAATTTCGGCTGAGTTGGCAAATCCTTGTGATTGGTCCAACAATGATTTACTGTTCATAGTTTTCTCCTTTAGTTAAGAAGAAGTAGATAAATCAGTAATGAAAGTAAATTTAGCTAATGAGTTTGCAGATAGAATTAACGAATCACCTATCTGTAAGAATTTAATGTTGGACCCTTAGATTTGGTTTTCTTCATTCGTTCCTGGACGGCTTTGGTTGGATATGATTACAATTGTATAAGTAGCTCCCTTTGTCTTCACCATAAAGAGATCTTGAACTCAGGAACTTAAATGAAAAATAACCCTTTCATTGCTTGACTTGCCATCATGTATTATTCTCTATGATTGCTATCCATTCGTTTCGATACTTCCCTTTGTACTTGTATTATCAATTTCTAGTGCCTTTTGAGTTTATCACCTATATATAGTGCATTGTTTTAAATATCCCCGACATGGCCTGATATGCCACCCGATATATCATTTTATAGGACTTTCCGCAACCAATATGGTCTTTAAATATCCTTTACCGCTTTTTTACTATTTTGGAGGATATATCCTCAACATGGTCAATATATTAGCTGATATGTTGGTCGATATATCCTATTAATATGGCTTGTCGCAAAACATTATACCGTGTTTGGCAATTTTTGGGCGAGATATCATGAATTTTCTATTATATCAAATGATATTTCGGCCTACGAAAAAATCAGACGAAATTTTGCAATATTGATTTGTACTTTTGTTTGCTTTATAAGGTTGATTACTGATCCTAAACATATATTATTTACATTTTATATGCTTAGATTTCATTAGATATGTTGAGATTGCATTTGCATTATATTATATATGCAAACATCCATTATGGCATTCCGATATTCACCACATGTCCCCGATATTTTCCCAATATCTGCAATCCGATGTGAATTTTGTCCATCCGATATTTTCCTGATATCTGATATTGTAAACATTGATATAGTGTTTCGTGGTTTGACCTTGATTAACTGGATAAAATAGGTGCTAGTAGGAAATATGATTTAAATGGAGGTCAATCAGACTGGCCTGGTCTAGCTTTTCAGGAGAGCAGCAGTCAACTGTTTCTTTGTGTGTCCAGTCTTGTAGGGCCATAAATGGAGGAAATATTGTAAATTATCATAGCATCTAAAGTTATTTCCCATATAGTGTTTCATGGATTGGACTTCATTAACTGGATAACATAGTTGGTAGGAAGAAATATGATTTAGTTGGAGGTAAGTTAGATTGGCTTAGTGTAGCCTGTCAGAGTGCAGCCATCAAAGCTGCCTCTTTGAGCATCCAGAGGATGGGGTCACAAGTGGAGACGATACTGCAAATACCACTGTCTGAAAGATTGATGTCCAATTTTGACAGATATCTGAATTAACGTTGAGATTATTGACCAGTTTTTAATTAGATGTGTATAGGTTGAGTTCAGATAATATTTGAATGTGATATCTAGTGGGTATCGTAATAGGGACGAAATTATCGACTATCTGAATGTGATAGTGGGTATTTATATTGGATGAAATTCCTATGCACTATCCATTAATCCATCTTTTAGTAAATTGTAGTTTCTAAAGTTAATTTCCTATAATTATCATTGAGCTAATTATGTTGACGGGATAACTTGTATGATGCAATTCTAAAAAGGGAATTTTTGAATGAATTGATCGTAAATTGTGATATTTTGGTCTTTTCTTTTTCTTCAAAATAAGATACTAATCTCAATGAGAATGGAATTTCTACAATATTTGCAAAACTTTCTGATATCATTTGAGAATAGAAATGATAAGAACACAATCTGTAGAAATATATGTGGAGCAAGTTCTTAACAGAGCACACTGCTTCCAGATTTGCTCGCTTAGAGATGGATATCCATTAAATATCTGATTGCATCTGCCAATTATATTTCTCTATCCTAATCCAAAATGAATCAATATGTAGATTTGGATATATTTCTATATTCTAATCACATTCAAAATAATGTGGTTTGGAATACTCTTTTTACAAATTTGCACCCACAGTGTTTAGCAGGTGCAGTTATAGGAGTCAAGAGGGTTGCAACAAATCATAAGAAACTAAATTCTGGTTTTGTCTAGAGTGTTCATTCACATGTTAGCAAATTGTTCCAATGAAACAATATGTGAAGTCGGAGAATTTGGTTCCTGTGGTACATCTACAAGTAGAATCGTTTGTCAGCTTGATCCATATGATGGCGCAAGTATGAAAAATCTGACTAGATGTATCCTAATATATAGAAACCCATTGCTCTTGTAGAAGCCGATAAAAGAAATTAGAAGAAAAAACTAAAGCGTATCAGATCATTATATGTTTTTTTAGTGAATTACTTTTTATTGAATTAATAAAAAGAACTCTAGAAGTAGCTATTTTAAATAATTTGATAAAGGACATGCATTTAGTTACGATTTGAAGTTTGGCCTAAATTTGATAGTTCACTGTCGCTGACTGCGGCATATGTCTAGATCTATTTAATTACTCTAGTGCAGCAAGACTATCAATTGTATTTTGCTGCTAAATATCAGTTGTTTGAAAGGATCCAATGAAGCTTAGGATGGTGACTTGTTAGCCAGTCACGCAAGATATTATTGTGTGAGTGGTAGTAGGTTCACCTATAGTACAGGTATTCGCATATTATATGGAGGACGCTTAATTCTGTGTCCTTCAGATGCCATTACTGACATCTCAAATAAGCTGAACTTGGTCAAATTTGCAAACGACTGCAGTTAGAAGAGATGTCTTAAAGTGATTTTCTGTATAAAGCTGTAGACCGTTTGACAAGTTTACTGTAGAAGTAGGCATCCTACGTTCCTTTTTTTTTAACACGGAAATTATTGGCTTCTTGATAGTAATACATCCAAAGCTGGTTGATCCAGGTCAAGGACTTTCAGGATGGATAGAAGTCCAATATGGCAGGGTGTGGAGTAATTGACAGAACATTAAATTACAGAAGAATGACTTTTCTGTAGGGGCAAAGTTCGAATCCTGTTTTCGTAACTTTTATGGAAGTTCCAAAAGCTAAAATAATGTTTATATAATAACTTCGGGGAGGCATCCGTGTGTCAAGTTATGAATATCATGATTTGGAATTTCAAACATATAGTTACAAGATATAACATTCGTTGACTTCGTACCATTGTGGAGCTTCAGTTGTGCATGGACATATGTCTAACACTGTATTTATAAATGCTGCATTCAGGTGTGGGATTTAGGTGGACAAGACCGACTAAGAACTTCATGGGCAACCTACTACCGAGGAACTCATGCCGTCATTGTCGTGATAGACAGCACTGACCGAGCTCGGATCTCCATCATGAAGGACGAGCTCTTCAGGCTGTTGCAACATGGAGATCTCGAGCATTCGGTGGTGCTCGTCTTTGCCAACAAGCAGGATCTCAAGGATGCCATGTCCCCAGCTGAGATCACCGACGCCCTCTCCCTCCATAGCATCAAGAACCACGACTGGCACATCCAAGCTTGCTCTGCTATCAAGGGCGAAGGGCTGTACGATGGCCTTGGATGGATAGCAGAAAAAGTTGGGGGCAAGCCAACGAGTTCGTAATTTCGGGTTAGATGGGGGGCTGTGACTTTGTACTGTTAGACGTTTGTATTCCTCTCAATACTGCAAAGCTAAATTATGTGTTTGTGCTTTTGATAAGCCAGAAAAAAGAAATCTGCAGATGTTGCATAAATAGAAGCATTCCTTTTGTGTTTTCCATGAATGATTTCAATTTCAACGTTCCAGGAAACTTGTACTTTGTTCGTTTGAAAAGAATTTTACACATGCCGCAAGAAATAACACAACCCTTTTGAAAGTACACGTCTTTCTCCATCTCTCTTTCGTTCATCCTCTCAAGTCCCCACTACAGATAATTGCAAACAATAAACTTTTCTTTGAAGCCTCGGTTCTTATTGTATCAGAGTATCCAGCATTTGCATCCATGCATATCTTGAGGTCCCTCGAACCACCTGTCCCAAGTGGGATTTGTAGGCCCAGTTGTTCTGCGAAAACAGAAAAACAGATGAAAATGAGGAAATGATGAAGATACCAGGCACAACCGAGACTGATAGAAAGGATATATATTACATTGGTAGCAGCGGATCTGGCTTGCTTTCCACTCTTTGTAGCAATCTGATGAAACAGCAAAGGGTAAAATCCAGATGAAGATATGTAGGGGACTTTTAAGTGCTTTTATTATTAACGGGATAGGATATGCTTATTTTCTTGTACATACTCTTCTAATGCAGCTGATACTCTTTCTGTTCTCTCAAGCTCCTCCAGCTCTTCCTGCATCAAGTTAATTAATAGAACACCTAAGTTAACGGTGACGATGGGCTATACAGCAAGAAGTTACTATGGGATCATGCAGCTTCTAGCTGGTAGTGATAAGAATCAAAATTTTCGTATGCAACACAATTTTATCAATGATGATGATTGTGAAGGAATGATAGCAATAGGGTGACCTTTAAGACAAATTAAACATAATGTTTGTCATGAACAGCAGAATGAGGTTTCTGGATCTGTTTTTTCTGTTCCTTGGGGAGATGCTTTCGTGTGCCATCTCGGTAATAAATTTTATTTTTCTCCCCCATAACTTGTTATTGTGGACACCAACACAGCTATAAGTGCACTTTCACCTAAAAATTGGCTGCCACATCTTATCTATTCGTATGCAACATAGAAAGAAGAAGCAAACAACATGTGTGCCCCCACCTTAATTGGTGAATGAAACCTTTGACCATTCAACAAGTAGCTTTGAAGTGGTCCATAAGTAATGAGCAGCAGTGCAAGGGTCATCACAATAGGTCGAGTTACCGAAGTGGTCAAACCATAATGTATGGGATTCTCTTAGAGAACCTTAAATTCAATCCCGTAATCACTTTGACCATCAAGACAGGTGAAAAATCCAATTCATCTGAATAGCTTCTAGTGTTTAATAGAAAGACATCCCGGGAATAATTGATAACCAAACATCTTCAGCGTGGACAAAGTAAGTACAACTTAGATGCATGAAAGTTAAGGCCAAAACCTAATCTCACCTAAATAATTATTGATAGTAGTCATTGCACACTAGTAATGTATGCCAAAATCTGCACGAATTCCTTTTCCTGCTGGGACCACATATGTTGACATATAAATACACTTGAATGGATTGTTTTTGCAACACATGCTATGCAAGAGTAGAGAACATGAAGAACCACAACCAAAAGCAAAGCATATCAAATGTCCAGCGAGGTATATGTGGGATAGGCACATCAAATACAGAGGATATGTATCATAACCATACTCAGTATAAGACTATAGACAGCATACTCCAACGACATCAAATTTATAGGTTAACAATAAATATAAGACCACAACACTATATTACTGTATAATAGAGGAAAATCAAGAATGCTGATGGTAGAGATATATTACCAAGCCCTTTTATAATTTTTTAACATTTTATTTGACCGTCCAGATTTACATTTCAGGTCTACACGTGTAAGATGTTTGGGGCATGGGTCTAAATAAGGAAAATTCTGGAATGTAAAGTACGACGAGCTACTTTTAGTATTTGTTATGTAGGATAAATTAGCTAAAATTAATTGGTGAATTTCACCTAATAACCTCCTGTTATAATATAAGGCTACAAAAACAATTATGTTGTTTGAGTATGAGGTACCTTAAAATACTTTGTTTAGCTCTTCTTAGCTTTTGCATTTCTTGCTTAGGTATTCTCCTGGGGAAATCAATCTTAAAGTACTAAGTACCAAACTATGTTGGAGAATTGGCAGACGTGAATGAAAGGGCAGTGTTGGTATTATTATGGGAACATCCCACTAGCAACAGTAAGGCTATCCAGTTTTGAACCATGATGCGCCTAAACATCAAATAGGTAAAATTTTGCATGCATATTCATAGCACTATATCACCTGCAAAAGGTATTGGCAAGCCCATTTCAACATGCACAAATAAGGAAAAACAATGTCATGAAAACAGATAACTAGCCAAAAGAACATACAAAAAAGAAAAAAGAAAAAAAAATCCTCTTTTATCGATAAATTTGACATGGAGTTCCTTCCACATTAACGATTGTTCGACTCTACAGATATGATCTATATTAATGCATATACAAAAAAGAAAAAGAAAAAAAGAATCCTCTTTTATCAAGTAAATTGTGATACCTATCATTAACAGCCTCTAATAAAGGCTAGAGGACAGGACATCCAAATAGCTCTAAATGTCAATACAAAAAGGAGGAGTCTTGCTCTGCACAAGTTTATTTTGTCAAATAATGCTTTGGAGAACTTAGTCTATCTTGAAATTGTGTTAATTACACGAAATTGTTATCCAAGGCTTAATTGTAATTAAAAATAAATAAATGACAATGTAACTGTAAATCATCAATTTCATCGTTCACTTCCTGCAGATTCATAATTCGATAAGGAATCAGTAGGTAACTCTTAAAAAGAAACTACTTTTAGTCATCAATTATTAGGGCATAAAAACTACACTAAACAAAACTTCACTAAAAATTCAAAATTAAGAGATTTTGAACTACCTCCAAGAATCGAGCTTCTTGTTCCAATCTCTTGAGCTCCGCGAAGATCCGGTGCTTCCCCCTCGTATCGGCCGAAACCGGAACCCTATGCTCCCCATTCGCCTGCATCGATCCCCGCCGTTCGATCCCTCTGATCTCGATCCAATCAGACGGCTGTAACCACTTCCAAGTATCAGCAACAGATCTCGTTCTCCATTAGAGAACCTTGGATCCGATCACAGTCTTTTGAAAGAGAGAATGTGATAGCAGCAAGCTCGATGCCTCGATAAAAAAGACCAAACTTTCTGGGGAAAGACAAAACGATTTTTTTTGCAACAAAAGGCTTGTCTCCTTCTTTTTCGTTCTTTTTTTCTGAGTGGGATTTTTGCAAATAACCACCTGTGGGATGTTTGAGTTTGCAGGTGCATGGACCAATCATTTGGGGAATGAACCTGACACCACCATTCGAAAAGTGATTTTCAAGCCGTGTTGTTATTAGATTTTTATTTTTGTTGAAGCTGTGCACTGAAAACAAATTTGAGAAATGATTGGGGTCCACGATGTTTAATTCCACGTCATTTTTTGGGTAGGATAGGCTCTCTGGCCTCGGCTAGCATTTGTATGAGTTGACAGCTACAATGCCTAGTTTATTATTTTGTTAGGCATCTATAGTCTAGACACTGATATGGCCACGTTTCTGATTTTTGAGGGTATAATTGTAGTTTTATTAGATATAAATGAGAAATGAAAATATCTGTCAGTCTTTACTTATTGGGTCTTTTCAAATAACTAAGATCTATCGTCTTTTCTTATTGGCTGTGTTCAAAAAACTATCATTCAAGGGAAAAATGTGTCCAGGCCCTAAAATTAGAAAGTTCATGTGACTCATCCCCTTGTATTCTGATCTATGTGTATAAGTCCCAAATACACATTGTATTTGTGTTAAGGCCCCAAAGTATCGGATCATGAGAAAAATCCAACAAAAGTTACAAATTTACCCTTTGATTTGATTGAGCTTGGTAACTGCGCTCATCCCTTTAACCCCACCCCCCCCCCCCCCCCCCCCTCTATCTCTGAACTTCTTCTTCTCTCTCACTTCCGTCATGGCCACTGAAAATGATCAGACCATGGGGAGGTCGTGGAAGGCGAAGGCGAGGACGGTGGTCATGGAGTCGAATGTCGGGAAGTCATCTTGGAAACAGCTCGTGAACGCGGGTTCAACAACAAACACGGAACATGGTCCGGTAGGACCTGCGAGCTGACGGAGCCTGGAGCTTTGGTCTGATGCATCGTTGCTCTCCCCTTTCTAAGTTACGGAATATATTTACCCAAATCAATGTTTTAATCAAGATAGTGCTCTTGTTTTCTTGTAATTTATGAAGGGAGTCAATATTGGGTTTTTGTAGTTTTTCTCTTTCATTTAATTGAAATGGGATCTCCTTGGATTCTTGAACAGCGGTTTGGGTTTTTCTTTAATGCTTTTTTCTTATGTGATTTGGTGATTGACAGAGTTCTGTATAAGAGATTAACAGCAGAAATTTTCAAAAGCTCACATTGAATCTTCAGGCATATCGACATTTAGCTAAAAATTGAAGACAATATGATTAAAAGTCGACTAAAGAATCTAAGAACATGTGAATTTGAAAGGGGGGACAAGGAAAATTAGAACTATAAATGTTAGTTCTAAGGGCTGGAATGTTAGTTCTAAGGGCTGAAATGTTAGTTCTAAAGGCTGGACTGTTAATTCTAAGGACTGGACTGTTAGTTCTACCAGCTTTCATGTTAGTTCTGTCATCTCTTACGTTAGTGCTACCCACTTTCATGGTAGTTTTGTTATCTCCTACGTTAGTTCTGTTCGCTGCCATGTTAGTTTTGTCCACCTTCTTTATGAGAACATTATAAACAACAATATCAAGATGAACACCATTTTTAAGCATTATTCTATAAAGTTTAAACCCAGCAATTAGATTGCCATGCTTGCACAAGCAATCGACTAAACTACAGTATGCTACGGCATCTGGCATAAATTCCCTCTTTAGTATTTGAAAGAAAATTATTGCTGCTTCCTTCAACATTCCTTGCACAACCATTCCCTTGAGAAGGATGGTGAAAGTAACTATATCAGGTATGAGCTTGTGTACTCCCAATTGTCTATAGATTTTATATTTGTGAAAGTAACTACATGAATTAGAACTAGAACTAACATGAAGTGAGTTACAATCAACATAAAATGAGTTAGAACTAACAAAGAGCACAAGAGCCTAAAACTAACATGAATTAGAACTAGAACTAACATGTAGTGTGTTAGAACTAACATGAATTAGAACTAGAACTAACATGCAGTGAGTTAGACAAAGAACGAGTTAGAACTAACATAAATTAGAACTAGAACTAACATGAAGTGAGTTAGAACTAACAAAGAGCAAGTTAGAATCAACTTTAAGTGAGTTAGAACTAACAAAGAGCAAGTTAGAACTAACAAAGAGCAAGTTAGAACTAACTTTAGAACTAACAAAGAGCAAGTTAGAACTAACAAAGAGCAAATTAGAACTAACTTTAAGTGAGTTAGAACTTACAAAGAGTAAGTTAGAACTAACTTTAAGTGAGTTAGAACTAACAAGTTGGAACCAACATAAAATTAGTTAGAACTAACAGAGAGCCCAAGAGCCCCCAGGCCCAATGCCCAATCAAAAACTTTTAAATATATATTGTAGGTGTAGGGGTTTGGAACTCTTGACCTCCTCTCCAAATTACCAAGCTTTACCACTAGACTAAGTAACCAAAGTATTAATGTTAGTTCCACTTAAAGTTAGCTCTTACTTACCATTAGAACTAACATGAAATAAGTTAGAACTAACTTGAAATAAGTTAGAACTAACATGAGTTAACTTATGATAGAATTTAAAAAATGGCATAAATAACTAGAGTTAGCTCATGTTTGTTCTATCGCAACTCATGTTAGTTCTAATTTTTACTAGCTCATGTTAGTTCTAATTTTTACTAGCTCGTGTTAGTTCTAATTTATTTAATGCGTTAGTTCTAGCGTAAATGTTGGGTCTAAACATCATATTAGTTTCAATTTATGCCATATTAGTTCTAGCTTCTCCAGTGTTAGTTCTAACAGATATCGTGTTAGTTCTAATTTATTTAAGTTGTTAGTTCTAGCGTAATTGTTGGTTTTAAACGCCATGTTAGTTCTACTTGATGATGTGTTAGTTCTAGCTTCTCCAGTGTCAGTTCTAACAGGTATCATGTTAGTTCTAATTTATTTAATGTGATATTCCTAGCGTAAGTGTTGGGTCTAAACGTCATGTTAGTTCTAATTTATGCTATATTAGTTCTACCTTCTCCAGTGTTAGTTCTAACTGGTATCGTGTTAGCTCTAATTTATGTAATGCGTTATTTCTAGCGTACTTGATGGTCTAAACACCATGTTAGTTCTACTTGATGATGTGTTAGTTCTAGCTTCTCTAGTGGTAGTTCTATTTGGTATCATATTAGTTCTAATTTATTTAATGCGTTAGTTCTAGCGTAAGTGTTGAGTCTAAACGCGATATTAGTTCTAATTTATGCCGTGTTAGTTCTATCTTCTCTAGTGTTAGTTCTAACAGATATCGTGTTAGTTGTAATTTATTTAAGTCGTTAGTTCTACATAATTGTTGGGTCTCAACGTTATGTTAGTTCTACTTAATGATGTGTTAGTTCTAGCTTCTCCAGTGTTAGTTCTAACTGGTATCGTGTTAGTTCTAATTTATTTAAGTCGTTAGTTCTAGCGTAATTGTTAGGTCTAAACGCCATATTAGTTCTACTTGATGATGTGTTAGTTCTAGCTTCTCTAGTATCAATTCTAACAGGTATCGTGTCAGTTCTAACAGGAGCTCAACTAGAACTAATATAGCCACTAGAACTAACGCTTATATTAGAACCAACACTAGCTGGAAGTAGAACTAACATGAAATCAGGTAGAACTAACACGAGAACCACCAGAACTAACATGAGCTCAACTAGAACTAACATAGTCACTATAACATGGTATAAAAATATTAGTTCTACTTAAAGTTAGCTCTAACATGAATTAGAACAAAGTTAGAACTAACATAAAATATGTTAGAACTAATATAAAATAAGGTTTACCACTAGACCAAATAGCCTAAAGTATTTATATTAGTTCTATTTAACATTAGCTCTAACATGAAATAGAACTAAGTTAGAACTAACATAAAATAAGTTAGAACTAACATTAAATAACTTAGAACTAACATGAGTTATTGCTCATGATAGAGTTCAAAAAAGGGCGTGAAATTTCCCTCTATTTTTTTCCATCAGATCGCATTAATGGACGTGACTTTTCATGTATTTTATGGACCAGACGTCTGGGGAAGATAAGTGGAGGGGTAATTTCGGGTTTTTTTAAATACAATCTCTTTTTTTATACTGCTGGCATGGAGGGGCCTTAAAATATTAATTGATACTTTTAGGACAGAATCACATGGACTAAAATACAAGGGGACGGGTCACATGAACTTTCTCATTTTGGGTCTGGACACATTTTTCCCATCATTCAAATAGGGTGAAAATATGTCTTTAAAGTTTAATATATCTAAATTTCAATTATAATCTCCAAAATATTCTTTAAAAAACAAGGAGATTTGATGCTTACCGTATCTGAGATGGGTAACCATAATGATTCAGGGAGATTTGATGCAACTCTGGTGATTTTTGTTTAGAAGATGTAAAATGTAAAAAGTTATAAGATGTAAGCAGTTAGTGAAGTTGCCGGTGAAAACCGAGTTGAACAAACTGGCCAAGTTCAACTTGATTCGGGCTATTATTTGTCCGCTATAATTTTTTTAAATAATTTGTTAATAAACATTTGTCAGCTATAATTAGTAGACTTTATTTCTTTTTCTCTGTGTTGTTGCATGATGGACTGGACAGAGTAGATATATATATATATATATCTAAGATATAGTATAGTATACACCATCATATATATATTATAATAATATATATATATATACTATATATATATATGAGAAATCATGGGTATGTTCTTGAAAGCAAGTTCACAGCCGAAGCACAAGTTGTGCATTTGTAGTGAGGTGGTCACATCTCCGCCAACAGTCAATCCATGAGATGATTGCGGAACACCTAACAATTTTCATGTAATCAAGTGTATGGGGATGTGACACACATATAGCCAGCACAAAAAAATTTGTGCTTGGTACCAAGCATACTCATATTTCTCTCTCTCTTCACTCATCTCAAATCAATATGCTCTCTTATATATATATAACGTATATATATATAATATATATATATATATATATATATATATGTTTGTA